TATTATATATATATTATTTATATACAAATAATACATAATTTATATGTAAAATAACATTAATAAAATGTATTATATATATATTATATATCCAGCTTTAATTTCAAGGCCAAGGACAGAGTTTAAAGGTAAGCAACACCTTGAATGGCAGGTCAGAAACAGTGATGGTGAAGGAAAATAAAAACATTTTTGTGACAGAATTTAACTTTTTTTTTCTAGTGTGGCATTTGCCAATTTCTTGCTTTTAGCAGCACCACAATAGAATGGCTAAAACTAAAGAACATGATTAAGCAGCAGCAGCTAGAGAACTGCCACAGAAAGGGGACTGTGCATTAATTACACACAGGATGAAGTTAGTCCTTTATCAGTCAAGTTCATGGAAAGTGGCTATGGAGCCTGTAATACTTGAAAATGTTTAACCATGATTTAAACCTCTAGCAGGCAGATTTATTTTTTTTTCATATACAAAGCTGTTACATAATCTGAAGTTGGCAGACCTTTAAACAAGGACAAACAGGACCTGCTGTGCCAGATAACCACAGATGCTCTGTGCTAAAAAGAAAAGCAAAATGAAAACGTTATTTAAGCTGCTGCTGCTGTCAGGGTTTGACACTGAGCACCTTAATCTCAGAGTGACCGGCACTAAAAGGGCTTCCATTTCATGGCCACAATAAATCCTCAGTCCAACAGAAGGCTTAGAATTGTGAATTTCTCTAAAGCTTCACAACTCCAACAGCTTTTAAATTTGTATCATTCCTATGGATAGTTTTTTGGAAAGCAGTTTAGTTCTGATGGGTTCTTCAATCATTTTAAAAGAAAAACCAAAACCAAAAAACCCCTCAAAATCTAGAAACCAATCTGGGGCCAAGTAAGCAGCTCAAACTGGTGTTAATTAAGCTGCTTTATATATTTGCATTTTATTCGAAGAACTAGGTTTTTCTGGCTGTTTTTTTAGCCAGGACCATGAACCAAGTTTACTACAAGTAAATCAAACATCTGCATTAGCTACTGCCCGTGGTGATCCCTCCCCCGCCCCCCAGTTAATCCACCCGACACTGCCAGGCCAGTCTGGCGCCGACACTGGTCCCTGCGGTAGGTGCCGCAGCCCCCGAGGCACCTCTGAGCTCGCAGCGCCTCCCTGAGACACAGCTCCAGCTCGGACAGTGCAGGAGCACACGGACCGTGGAGCAGGGAAGCAGTTTGTAAGCAGCATTGTTTGCTGAACTCATTCGGAAGCCCCGGAAAAGACACAAGACTTGATGTCATTTCACTGCAAATGTTTTCACGGCTCAGATAAAAGAACTGCAAGTCACACAACACATGAGAAGCTACCAGGGGAGGCTCAGGCCCCATCTCTAGTGCACTGCAGTTGCTTCTAGCTTGCTTTCATCTCTCTTACTGAAGCAATTTTAGCTTTCAACAAAAGCCATGGTGTATTTGGTTAGTCACTACCCTTATTAAACAAAAGGAATTAACATGACTGTTTATCCAGTAAAAAATTGTTTGCACTTTGAGTCCTGGTTCCTTTTCCTTTAAAGCCATTCCTCCTTTCAGAGTTATTAAATTCCTACAGATGCAATTTCCCCTCAAAACGGAGCAAAGAGCATTTCAGATTTTTAGTCATGTCAATGTTAACTCTGGATTGATGGTAAATGCAAATTCTGTATTTTCTCTGCTCATGCTCTTTGGTGGTGGTGGGAGCAACTCTGAAATTCAGTTTCAGCTCCTACTTTACCTATTAACAAAATCTTACCTTTGGGAGTTGGATTACACCATGACTTTGGATTCAACACAGACACAGCACATTTTTTGCAACATTTATTCTAGATATATCAAGACTTAAATCTTATTGAAAGCAGCTACATCCATTGATTGTACATAATCTTCAAAAGCTGTTATTCTCTCTTCCAGCATATCTGTCCCAACTTTATCATCTTCAACAACACATTGGATCTGAAGCTTTTTGATACCATAGCCAACAGGTACTAGCTTGGCTGCAAAATAAAAAAGGCATTTAGTACTCCTTAATTAGTGCAATCTCTTAAGAAGACTGATCTAGGGTTGAACTGATCCAAGTCGCTTGCAGGAATACATATGCATCATTTGTTCCCCATTATGGAGTACCTAATTAACAGCATTCAGTATAAGGGATTGAAAAGGGTTTCTTTCTGTGAATCCACATCCCTTCCCCAGACCAGTGCTGTAGGTGCACTTGTGTCTGCTTGTTGCATCAAGTACTGTACAGGGAGATGCAGAGAGCAGAGCCAAAGTTTTACAGCTTTTAAAACCTGTACATGAAACTTAGCTGGGCTGCTGCATTAACACACCTGTTCAGACTACGTCAAGATACTGAAGTACTGCCGTTCCTACACTGTTTTAGCTCCCTGCATTTTCACAGATTAGCACAGTGACCAGGAGTCGAATTATTCACACTTAAGGGACTGCACTTTCTTTTCCCCTATTCGTAGTTTTCTCATACTTACAAGATCCCCAGACCAAACCATCTGCCTGAATGCTCCGAACACACTCCTCCAGCTTGGCCATGTCTGTCTCATCATCCCAAGGTTTCACATCAAGCAAGATTGATGACTTGGCAACAACAGCTGGTTCTGGGGGAAGAAAATCACCATTTAAAGCCATGAAGTTTTTAAAAACTCATGAAAATATTTGCAAACTAGTTTTACAAGAACAGCTTTCCCATTAACACGGGTAAGAACCTCCTCACACTGCTGTGACAGGCCTCTGGTACCAATGGACATTTCAGAAGAGCTTCAGCTATGCATACCCCAGCATTCCAAGATGTAAATACATTTTCATCTTGAGAAACAGTCTTCTAGAGAACACAGACTAAGAAAGTGACAATGTTTGTTACACAGGAAGTCCTTTTCAGAAGATCTGAGAAGGAGCTTAATACTATGTAACAGTTTATTTTCCACAGAGGGAATCCTGCAACTGCTACAGTTCTGAACAGTTCCAGACCAGTAGCTGTGGAGCGACTTGCATATTGTGGCTTTTTCTCCAAACTTTTAAAGAAAATCCTGAAGTTATCTCCACTTACATATTAAGTTCAGCCTCTGGGCAGAACAAACAAGAGTGTATTAAGCAGAACAAAACCAATGCTAAGATTCCCATTTGCTACAGGAAAGGCTGAGCTCAGGCAATGCAAGTGAACCCAATAATTCCTGTCTTATTCCAGTCAAGCTGATCTATTATTAGAGTTAACTGATGTTCAAATCCATGAAAATGAACACAAGAATGAAAGATTAAGAAGTTCTTGGCACACATACTTTTGGACTTCTTTGATTCATACTGGGCCAGACGCTCTTTTGCTTCTTCACTTTCCTGAAAGAGAAATCTAAGTTACAGAAAAGCATTAAAACCCATCTCCAAAGCATTACCATATTTATTGACTGGCATCTACTCAGATAAAAACAAATCATCACAACTGTCAGCCGAAAGATGGTGATTTTTTGTTTTATTCATCATGTAACCAGTCAAAGTTGGACAGTTCACCCCACTGCAACATATGCCTTTCTAAGACTCGAGTTTTTATCTTCCAAGCTTTTCTGTTCTGCAAAGACAGCTGAATTTGAGAATTCCAAGGTCACAAATTTAAGTAACTTAAAACTAGTTAAGGCAAAAATCTCCATACCTGGGTTAAGGCCTTAAAATCCCTCAAACATAATACACAAAGGTCACAAGTACCTCCTCATCATCAGATCCAAAAAGGTCAATGTCATCATCATCTTTGCTATCTGTGGCTGCACCTGTTGTGTCCTCAACATCAGCAGGACCGTATTTCCCCAAAGCCTTCTTTACTCCTGGCAAGCTGAAAGGAAAATGTAGACATTACAAACCTACTCAAATGTCAATACAAATCTGTCAGTTTGTCAATCAACCTACAAGTGCCATTTATAATGAAAAATTAGAAATCTAATTCTGCTCCGTGAAACCAGAACCTCCCAAAAGACAGCAGCCAGTGCTCCTGACATGCTAGCTGAATCTGGGAATATGGAATTTACTGTAGTCTCATCAAAGCTAACATCATCCTGCCCAACACTGCTGTTCCAGCCAAGCACATGGACAGAGAAAGGTTTCTGACAGGAATAATTTATCTGCAAATATCCTCTCCAAAAATCAGTACCAATTTCTCCTTCATGCTTCGCAATAAAGATATTTTGTTTCAGAACTCTTAAGTGACAAAACACACTGCTGCACGGTTAACTACTAGTTTTGGAAGTTTCAGTGAACACTCTACCTTAAATGCTCTGGACAGCACCAGCGGGACCAAAACTTCCCTAATTCACTTTCTCCTGTAGCTCATCTAGTTCTGCAATCTTAGCATAATCTCATAGTTCTATTGCTACTGTGAACTGCTGTTACTGGAGCCATAAAACTTGCTCAGAATAAGCTCCCATAATTCTATTACTGTGAACTGCTGTGACGAAGTCATAAAACTAGCTCTAGTTTTCAGGAACTGTAAGTAGTTTCCAGAGTAGACTTTATTAACTGACTTTAGAATCTCAGTCTTCTTTAGCATTATAAAAGTTTCAGAAATGGACTGGTGACCGAGTCACCCAACTTTGCCAGAGCTCCCTCCAAACTGGACTGAGGCTCAGGAGGCAGTGTAGCAGTTCTAACCCTACCTATGCTTTACCTTTTTCAGAGAGGCCTGCAGTCTCCATGGATGTCAATGCAGCATACTAAAATCACTAATAAAGAAAAAAGATAACATTTGCTTTCACATCTTCCCTTCTTTAAATCTGCTTCTGTATTGCAAATCACTGATTTTATTTTCCAGGATTAAACACCTGAACATCTATGCACTGTATCTTTACCTTTAAAAACCGCTATAAGACTTTCTAATCACTTCCAGTGCTGCTTTTAGAGGTTTCATTACTAGCAATTCCTGCCTTTCAGCAACGTTATGTGTGTCAATAGCAGCATCAAAACTTAAAGCTTTATTATAAGCTTAACAGAAATGTCAGCGACCGAAACGAGACAGAATCAGCTTGCTTAAATTCTAAGTGAGAAGCGAAGTGCGCTGACACAAGGTCTGCCCCGCTTCTAGAGTTGTTCCTGCTCCGACGGCAACACACTGCCACGTGGTAGCACGAGCAAGCACTTTGTTCAAACTCGGGAGAAACACACGCAGTACTTCGCAGGCCAGTTCGCACAGATATCGCTGCTTCGCAGTTCAACCGTACCTCGCCTTTTGCTTCTCATACGACTTAATATGATTGTACCACCGGAGAGCATGAAACAAGTCTGCAGGAGGTGGGGCAGCGATCGCTTCGAACACTGCTATGTCAGCCTGAGACGGGACGTACCTGCGGAGAACAAGCCGAGGTTAGCC